CCATAATGAGCAAATCTTTGCAAGTTTCCACTCATTGTATATATGCTCATTGTTTTAAACAAGGGTTTAAAACGAGTTAACAGAAAGGCACCTCTTTAAGTCCCAATATTAACCGAAGAAGCGCTTTTTCGAGTATCTATGCTGTTCGAATTGTGTCGTGCCAGTAAATAGCTTTGCTACTCTCGTAGTGGTTCGGTTATCGCGAGTGAGAAATTACCATCATGCTAGTATTGTATGGTACTACTGTCGGGTAAGGTAGCTGCCATCGAGATAGTAATTTTATTTACTATTTTAAGGTAAAAAATATTACTACTGGTGGGTAGGTTCACTGCCGTCAAAAAAGTAGTATTTTTTACAGTTTTATAGTAATTTTTGCTACCATCAATCTCTGTAAATTTACTGAAAATACTGTTCATAATACTACTGATAGGGCCTGTAAATTTTTTTACATGGGCCAGTACTTTTGCTGCCATTTTTTTAGTAAATTTGGAAAAAAAAATGTAACAGTGTATTCTATAGCTTTATAATTATGTAAGAATGATATTTCTGATACAATAACGTCTTGTCATGGTTTCGGTAGAAGATTTTAGATTCTTATCATAATTCTATTATTAAATTATAAACAATAGGAAAATGATCGGAAAATAATTTGATAAACGGTGACATTTTCGACCTTTCTCAGAAATAAGCCCATGCAAAGAATTCGGCAATGAGAGATTCTTCAACAAGCAATGATGGTAATGATTGTGTAGTTTTTACCAATCCATATGGTACATTTGATAACTTGTAGATCTATACACGATTTGTTTCATTTAATAAGATGAAAACGGTAAAAACTCCAATTTTATTATCGGAAATAAAAAGCTCTTTATAATCTGAGAGATACAAATTTTTTATGGGTCCGCGAACCCGTTCATGGAATGTCATGATATCAGCGAACCTGTTCTAGTTTTTTTAATTTTAGGCGCCATGCGACCACAGCAAATGGTTAACGTGCACCAAAGCTGGCGACTAGCGTTTTATTTGACGTTTCCAAAGTTATGTATCAGATTTATGTGACGTGTCATGTTATTGTAGCCTACGTATAGCAACATACATACAATTTTTGATATGAGGGAACCTAAATTTCAAATCCTAAATTTCATCACTGCTCACCATTCTACAAAAACAATCTCACAATTCTTCTGAAATTACACAAAACGTAACAAATGTGAGCTATTGCTATGCGTATTCACGCTCTATTATCAGTTCCCGCACACAATATGGGAAGGCGACCACTGAATGGCGCTTGGATCATAGTAATTTATTACATCTGATGATTGTGATTTGGGATAAGTCGCTTGTTACTTTATAATCAATAACAGAGCGGTGCTCAAATATATGGGCACGAAGACCAAAACGAATTTATATCAAATCTTTTGCAGTACGATAGTCTTCCTTATCAAAAAACTCAGCTGACTTAGCTGATCATCCGATCGCCGAAATGCGATCGCAGAACCGCCACACAATGCGCAGTTTTAAATTTTGTTGAGGTCATCACACAGAACTTATAGGTGAAAAACGAATCCAATAGAGCCCATAAAATTCTTCGAAATAAATAAAAGTAGCCCTCTTTTAACAACAACAATCTTTTTCCCCCGAAAATATGGGAGAAACTGGTTCAGGAATTTAAGAAAAAAACTTTTTTTTTCACAACAAAAATAACAACAGCAACAAGAAGAATACTGACACAACAACAATTTAAGAAAACGATCCAAAGGTCCACTCTGTGTCCAACAACCGCTTGGGAAAATTTGCTGTAGCGAAAAATACAACCCACACACTAAAAATGTGTATTGGCTCCCGTACCACTCCCGCGAAGCTTCGCTAAATGAATAAAAGGCAACGCTCTAATATCAAACACATGGCTATGTATACAACACATATAAAATCGACTGACTGTGGTTGTAAATCCCTTGAATGACGTTATAAACATAGTGAATCGACTGTCTATGGATATATGACATTTGATGTACATGTATATGTGATTGGCTGTGCATATATATTTGTTAGATGTTGCTATGTGTACATTTTTAGCTGTACATGTGTATTATATTATTAACCCCAGGGACAAAACTAAAAAATTTGCTGATGGAAAAATAGCGTCTCGAACCAGTCGTTCTGAAGAGGTGTATTCTAGCTGTTTCAAACAAAGAATATGAAGATTCTTCTTTTTTTTTCCTAACACTTTTTTTAGCTAGCTGCCTTGCTCAGCCGAAAAGAAATACTTCCTGCATGTTTTTTATTATGAACAAAATTACCACAGAAGAAAACTATTTGCTTTTGTGACCCCTTCACTAGCAAAAAATGTAAAAACATAATGGTACTCCACGTAATCAATCGGGATACTTTTCCCAGGGTTAGATTGACTTAAGCCACGACTCCTCTAAATTCAGACTTATTGGGTAAGACACTGGGCTTTCTCGATTACCATTTACTTACCACTTAAATATTGGCATAGTTTTGTACATAAAGATTAATTCCCCAAGAACTAACTTTCTACACGATATCAGGCAATTCGAATTATTTATTATATGCACAGACAAACATGGAGCGCATCAAATTTCGGTGGGTGTGCATCGATAGCTCAGTCGAGAGAGAGTCAGACTGAAGGTCCCTGTTTCAATCCCAGGTGAAATCGAGATATCAGAATATTCCCCAGGTTCTCAATATTACCCCAAGACTTTTGTAGAAATAAAGTAGAAGCTTGACCGGATAATCATCTCTTTTAAAACGAAGCCCTTTCTAATCTTTAGCACTCATTGGAGATATTTTTATTCATTTATTTATTTGCAGCTGAGCATGTGTTGATAAGCTAACGAGTCAAATATTCAATTTTTTTCAAGTAAGATTGTAAGTATGAGCTAGAAATATACACAGGTTTATAGATATGAACTTGTTCATATACATGCTTTGGATGGGTTCCAATGAAGCACTATCAACAACACTTACATTTGTTAATACTGGGTTATTCAATATGTCGACAATAAAAACGTTAAGTTATACTATCATCCTTATAAATATTATCCATTCAAATACAGTATAGCAAGCGGAAGCAATTAACAAATATCCGAAATCTTGAACTATTTTAATAATATGCATGAATCAGTAATAGGTGATGATAACACTAAAGCTCCCATTGAAAAAATACATAATTGGTGTTTATCAAATTGTAATCAGCCAATATATTTTCCAGTTTCATAGTATTGAATCGTGGTGATATGGAATCTATCTCCATTGCTTGAATTTTTCTTCGAAGCAGGAACATCCGCAAGGTACCTGCAAGACACAATATAATAAGTAAAAAGAGAGTATTTTAAAGATGTGCATGCTACTGGGACATATAGCATGCTGTTAGACGTACTAGAGAAGTACCGATATATCAAGGTCTAACATGAGAGCCGGGATTATCTTCGTTTTCGTCGCAAACATTTTGATCTAAGTGGTCCTGATTAGGATTTCATTTACCAAATATCTGATGAGACAGCATGGTTTCATCAATTGACTATGAATATGAACCCGGCTGATTTTTTGAAAACCTTGCTTACTTAGATTATCACAAAAATGTATATTCGCACCTGTGCTGTCACGGTGTCCTTGTAGTAGACGCCTTTGTGTTTATAGCATGCTACAAACTTATGTGTGCACTTAAACGTGTAACAATTGCATTTGCTGAAGATTGGTTTTGGATAGCCCGGTCGATAGCCACCTGAAGTCGATCCATGGGGAACTGATGACGGTACATAGCTACCTGAATTCGATCCACGGTGGGATGATGACGGTCCATAGCCATCTGAATTCGATCCATGGGGAACTGATGACGGTTCATAGCTACCTGAATTCGATCCATGGGGAACTGATGACTGTCCATAGCCACCTGAATTCGATCCATGGGGAACTGATGAAGATTCATAGCTACCTGAATTCGATCCATGGGGAACTGGTACGTAATTTCCAGAGTTTCGTTTATATCTACCGTTTGACTGACGATTGAAACCAATATTTTGGCAAGATTTTCCATGATAAAAACTGCGAGCATGAAAAAAATATCAGGTATTCTCGTTATATCTAAATTTTGATAGAAGTACGTATGAGTATAGACCACCTGCTTCATGTTCGCCAATTTCTCACTGAAACGGATAAGTTTAAAAATAAAACGTTTAAATGTTACTGTTGAAGAAACATGGATGTTTTGACCAAATGAAAAATTGCAGACAGCTTTGTTTCGTGATTTAAATAATTCAACCCTATTTAAGCCGGAGCCCCCATATGATTTTCGTAACTACAGCAGTCGAATTTCGATACCGTCTTTAGTTATTTATTTACATATGATGGATGTACATTTAATATTGTATGATTATAAAAACATTTTCAACCGGGTTAAATAGTGCTAACTATTTAATATAAAGTAGGAAACAAATTTGTCAGCGATTTTTCCTTTGGTCGAAAAAAGTTTTTTTCAATAGTATGTAATAGTTTAAAGTTTTATTTCAAACTGTAGTTTCTTGGTGTCACTTGTTCAGTAATAAATTGTCGAACACCGAGCAGGAGTAGTTGGTTTAAACTCATACATACAAGGGTTTATCAAAGTCCACTACATTCCCTGAAACTAACTTGCGTAAGTCATTTTCAAACCTATTATCATTGTATATTGCCGAGTCCATAACTCTTTTATGAAGTTATTTATTTTGCTTAGTATTTTCTGACTTGAGTAGTAAACAATGCTATATAAAAAATCACAAATATTTCTAAAAAGTTATTAGATTGTATAACATCAATGCATTGTCACAATACATTTTGTTGTTTTTAACATTCGACGTCAATTCTACTTACAAATATGAAAATATTCTTACTTGCATTCTTTTGCACTATAGTGGTACACTTTAGAGAGCCATACTTTGCCATGGCATCTACTGATTGCCTTGAACACCTTAGTATAACACGATTGGGCGGGACAAGATTTGTCATATGTTGTATAACCATATTTGTGATTTGGACAATATCCTGCCTTTGCGGGCGCACTGCAAATAATACCGGGAGAATTATTAAACAAATCATATTTATTATGAATGATACAAAACCACGTAAACGCATGACAAGTCCTGACCCTAGCTTTGATCAGGTATGCTATTGTTAAAAAAACTCGGCTTTTCGGGAAATCAAAAATTTAGTGATTAGTGTATACTCGTAGTGTCCTGTTGGGGGCGAATTTTTAAAGACCTCAACTGTTTTTATGACGGTGATCCCAATAGAAATCAAATGACTTCAAATACCAAATTCATGATATACACTATACAGGGTGACACAAAAACGCAACCCATAAATTCTTCAATTACTTCTACGAAAGTAAAGAAAAATTATTAACTTCTGTTTACACTTGAACTTCTGTTTGTGTGTTATTGTTCCCAAGAGTTTCAATAATCTAGGATGTTTGCACAAAACCTATGCTTTGTCTGGAGATGGATCTGCATCTGTTGCGCGAAATTGTCGGACCGGTCAAAATATGTTTGGTTTTTTCGAAATGCGCACTTTATACTATCAAGACATGGCAATAACAGAAATATTGTTTACTGGGCCACATAACCTCCGTAGGAAATCTTCCACTCAGTAAAGTGCCCCCTTTAGCTATTTTTAAACATGGCATAAAATGTCTGTATCGGTTCGAATTAGAAAATGAAAAAGTTTAAACGGTGAATTCAGGACCTTTTTTGAAGCAGTTCTAAGCAACAGTTGGCAACGTAAAAGGATTGGCCGAGATGGGCAAAGCCCACAGATCACACCCTTGATTGGTCACGAAAGCGATTTCAGCGAAGGCTGATCTGTAGGAAATGTGACGTTGAGTGGACACTTCATTTACCTGATTTGAAACCCCAGATTTTCATCAGTGTGAATACTTGGTGAACTTGGGGCTGCAACTGCAGCAAAAATCACGTTTGACAATTTTGCGTAAAAGTTGCAAATTCTGTACTCGATGCTAAGAAGGTCATTCGGAACATATTTTAGAGTTAACATAACTTTTGTGCAAAACGCCCAAGATTACTGAAACTTCTGGGGACAATCATACACAAACAGAAGTTTAAATGTTAACGAAATATAATAAATTTTCTTTATTTTCGTAGAAGTGGTTGGGAAATATATGGGTTCTGTTTTTAGGGATCATCCTGTAATATTATATAGAAAAGTGATATACACGAACCCATATCAAAACAGCATTTCTCAACAAAGTTAAGTAGTTGAGATTAAGACAGTGCCTGTGTAATAAGAAACAAAAATAATTGAAATATTTGATACTCACAAATGTGAACTTCGGCAATATTCTCCGCGTGGTTTGGGTTCAGCATATGGACCATTGAAGTCTCCAAAAGGATATTTTTTGGAGTAAGTGAAACTAACCTTTGTAAAAAAAAACGTTATCAAATTTGTGTATTTCTAGCTTCACTTACAACCTCTCAATCAGGAAACTTGTTAAAAACATAAATCAAATAATAAAAAGAATCTTGTACCAACGTAAAATAAGAATTGTTAGTTGTGTCTGGATTTTGTCATAAACTAATAAATGTAATCGATTGAGGTATTTAATATTTAACGGTGCTTCATAGGTTAAAATAGAGAATTTTTATGTTTCGGTAATTTTAGGTTAGAGTCACCCACTTCCCAAAAAGCAATCTATTTCTAACATGATCCCAAAAAATGTTTCAGATAATTTTCCAGATTCACACGTTGGAAGGTGTAGTTTATTTGAACACAGTTTTTTGGCATAAATATAAAATAGAAACGACAAAATACGTGTTGGTTATGATTCACATCAGTCGCGTGATGCTTTCGTAGCAAATAACAAAAAAAAAACGCAAAATTCGTTTATACGAGAAATGGCCCTAATCTCAGAAATTATAAAAATTGTTATTTTTCCAAAGAGATGATACCCAAAGCCAGGTTCTCTCACCCTGACGCCAAGAAGAATCATCCCTAGGAAAGGTTACAGTCGATCACTGACAGAAATGTCATGGGTACCGCAACCATGTAGATTAAAGGTGGTGGTGCATTACGCGTTATTATTTGCCGACTGACGCATTTAAAGTCGGTGCGATCAAAAAAATATGACACGTTATAAGCTTGACACATAACTGGAGGAGGTAGATTGACAGAAAGTAAATAAAATATAACATTCAATCGAGTACGACAGCTGAAAACAAGTTTCTGAAGTTCATAATAACACGGTCCGTTTTAATATTCATATCTTACATACTAACCTTTTTCACGTAGCACTTTTTCGGTTGATAGTAGTTGCCGAGCGCCAATGCACAAAGTGCGAAAAAAAACAAAAGTCGAACAAGCATCATCTTTCCCGTCGTTACTGACTCGATCGCTTTTTATCGAATTCGTAGAAGGTGGAAGAATACTTTGCAATGGCAGAACGGTTCAATTGATGCCATTTATATACTTTTTACATCAATCTTTTACATTAACCATAACCGAATAAAAACGTCGACCAATGATTTGCAAGCATTTTTCACAACAAAAACTTGCCCGTGCAGTATCGTCTCACAAAGTTATTTGTATCCGCGGTCGTTGATGAGTGAAAGTATGCATTCTTTTCGGTATAAATAAATTACGTATTTCACCCCGGAGACCAACTCCCATCAAATAACCGTTGGAAAATTGGCCTATTCTTCTGTTAGTTTAAAGTGTTTTCTCTGATTAATACAATAAGCGACTAAGGGTTGGAATATCTTTCATCATTCCGGTTAGACAAAATTCAGCCGATTTGTTGAACTCAATGGCGATATAGAGATCACTTATCCATTGTGGTTACAAGTTTAAGTTTTAGTTGCAATCGAAATCCTGAGCCGATAGAGGAATATCAATAGACCTTAACTATAGATCAGTTATTTTCCAATATATTATTATGGAAAATTTTTTAAATAAATTGGGATATTTTACCTGACGTCTCATTTTTATTTTTCAATATTGAAAAATCATGCTTATTTAATGTTATTCCTGTCTGCGTGTTCTTGAGTTTCAAAAAAACATGTAATGATGATTTGACTTTTTAATCACATTTAACTTATAAATAATCGTCAATATTTCTCCAAATGCAGAGTTCGTTGGAGTTTACTTAAAACAAGAAAACCACAAGATCAAATTAATGCAAAGTCATTGAGCCGGGAGCTAGGAAACTTAATTATGAGGTAATTTTTAAGTTTATCCAACTAGATGAAACTAAAAATATTTGGACCGAGTTGAATAATTACCACGAATCAGCACAGAACACATTTACACGTACTTTTAAAAAAAAGAGGGGGTATACTCGAAATAAAAAAAAAACATGAAAAATGATAGAAGGAAAACAAAGATTCGAATATTTTATATAACGGTTGCTGTTGGTGTTGAAGTTGAATAAATCATATTTAAATTCTGTATTTCTGATTTTGTAGGACCAACCGGATTTTTTCTCAGATTTAATACATAATCAATATGAGTTTAACTTATCATGAATATAAATAGTCAAATATATAAGAATACAATGCGAGTCGTCGTTTATGGGTTGGTTATCACTGTCAGCGGAAATCTACTATATTTAAGTAAAAAAAGTAGTCAAAAGGACAAACATGAGAAAAGATGAAGAGGTCTAAAGACTTGAATGTTTTTAATTATCTCGGCATAAATATAAGTAATTCATATATTAAAAGAAAGTTTGGTGGTGGACAGCCCAATCAAAATTTCTGAACATGCAATAAATCATCAGTTACTGTTTCATCCAATATGAAACAGTAAAAATTATTTCATTTCTATCAAAAGGCATCTATTAAGTTTTATATAACATGTTCACTGGTCTAGCTAATACTGGTTCTATCCGGTTCATCACGGGTATTTAGAATTAAAATAAAGCAATGTATTTTCAGCTTGTTTTGTAGATGTTCCCACCGCGCAATGCTGTATACATGTTTAAAATATAAAAACCACGCTGCATCAGTAGAAATACAACAAGAATTACAAGTTCTTGTAATCTTCATATTAGATCTTAATCATTTAGAGTGATTTAGCATTCAAATTCTTTAATTAATGTTTCCTCGCCCCACAAAGTGTAATCGTTTATGTTTAGTAGATGCGATTATCTGATTATCAATGCATTTCTTGTTCCCGTATGTAACAAAACATTTATTTTAGATTGTTGAAGACACGAACTAAAAATTGAGGTTTTGAAAATCGTGATTGGACGACAACTCTTGCTTGAATACTTCACTTTTAGTTCAAAATTGGAACAGTGGTAATTCGATTTCTATAATCAAGTATGACTAAGCATACATAAATGCTTCATTTTAGTCAGACATATAGAAAACTGTGTGATCCTTTTTTTGTATTTAAAAAACTAATTGCAATGAATGTTCCACATTGTGCGATATAAATCATACATATATAAATAAAAGAAATGCATCCTTTATCATCTGTCTCTCATCAACGAAAAAATATCGTAGACTGTCATTAAAAATAAATAATCTCGCCATGTTATTATGCGATGTGGATACTGTTAAACAAAGTACGATTTTTGAAATGTGTAATGAACTTAACAAGTCCTTGAGCAACGTCAAACGAAGTAGAAACACCAGTTTGATCAAATATTAACTTGTAAATTTCCACAGAATTGATTTTGACAAAGATTACCCGTAAATGGCAGTCACGACAGACCTTTGGACAAGTTTATTCTTTGTTTCTTATCTGTTTATCAATAATTTTCTAATCACACACAAACGCGCGCGAAAATCAAAAAGTTTCCACTGAATAGAGAATCAGAAACCAGTTATCGCCCTCAAACTTAATATAAATTTCCTTCAGTCCTTCAATAATTAGGTACATAAATTGGGTGTTTAATGTTTATAAACTGCTTTGGATGCTGAAACAGGTTTTCAGGATTAAGCTGATCATTCCGAGGCAAAAGTTTCCAATGAACTATGAATGTAGTACCTGCAAAAGCGTTCAAATAATGTCCTCTGTTTTGATAACCGACATAGGTCATGTCATGGGTGATTCATCACACCTTTTTTACACCCACTCGTTAATGATGTTGTTTTTCTCATTCTTAATTGCAAAAACTTCTTCTTTCGTGTGAATTGTTTATTACTGATTTAATAATGAAATGCGCTAGAATACAAAGGTGAACATGGATGGACTTTTATAGATATCGGCTCATGTCCCGCACTTGAACATGTTCAAACAACCTAAGAAACTTTTCCCGCTAATCCGCCTCATCAATATTGCTCTAAAAGTCAAGAGTGGTGGAACGACAAGACAAAAAGTTTTTAAATAAGAGAAGGAATAAGTATGAAAACATCTGTCTGTTTTAAAATGTTTAATGATGGTGTATTACGGTTATATTTTGCTAGGCCCAACGTAGTTAAAGTATATTTAGATAAGATCTTGGATATATTATAATTTACATACAAATTTCTGAATAATAACGAGAATCCGACGTATGAAACAAACAATGACGATCAGTTTGCAGTAAATTCAGCCACAAAGCCCTAAGAAACTTGTAAGAAGAGACCAAAATATCATACAGGAATCGCTTTCCTTGTACCATGTGTTGTTACAAAATAAAATTGTGTTTCGTTATTCAGACACCAATCCATAAATATTGACATACCCATAATTTTCCAGAAATAAATGTTTGTTCCGTTATCATGTATAACGAATAAGGTAGCTACCGAAGAAGCCTTGAAATATGTATCAATTGCCTCGTTAGAACCACAATCTCGAAACTGGAAAACAGAACGGCACTCATAGCAGCATTACAGAGCGTTTATTCCATAATTTTATAATTATGTAAGAACGGTATTTCTGATACAATAACGTCTTGTCATGGTTTCGGTGGAAGATTCAAGATTCTTATCATAACTCTATTTATAAATTATAAACAATAGAACATGGTCGGAAAATAATTTGTTGAACGATTACCCATTTTCGACCTTTCTCAGAAATAGGCCCATGCAAAGAATTCGGCAATGAGATATTCTTCACCAAGCAATGGCAATGATTGAGCAATTTTTACCAATCCATCTGGTACATTTGATTACTTGTAGACCTATACACGATTCATTTTATTTTAATAGGATAAAAACGGTAAAATATTTAATTTGAATATCGGAAATAAAAAGCTCGTTATAATCTGATGGACACAAATTTTTTATCAACGAAAAAGTCTTAAAGCACCTTTGATGATACAAATTAGGATATTATGACTAGGATATAAAGAAAGAATCAAAAAGTTTCACAATACGTTACAAAATTTAGGTAAAAGGCCGTTTTATCATCGAAAAAACGACTCAAGTCCAACACCAAAAATGTATTGGCTATAAACGTACTTATATTCGCAACTAGCATATATTTTTCATAGCTGCCTATAAATCAACCTGCATTTGTATACTGCCCGAGAACCTAACAACTCTAATATAATAACTAGAATATCGGTTAGAAACCGAAGACTTATCGATCGGAGGTTAGGGGACCCCCCAAAACAGTTGTCTTACTTCATAGTGACACCGTGTGTCCATCACTAATTAATTAATAACTCGCTAATTATAAGACATAATCCATCCAAAATCAATAGGCTTCTGATCCGAGCTATGATGAATGCACATGCAAAATTTGGAGCAGATTCAACCTCGCTTTCGTGAGATATCGCGCGCATCTAACACACAGACAAACAGACAGACAAATACCTATCAACATACTTACCGATCTTAAGATCGATAAGTAATTATGCTTTATCAAACGTATCACTTGCTACATTAATTTTAAATGTAAATCTATATTTTTCAAATTTACTATTAGCCAGATAACACTATAATTCTTAATTAATCATGGTGTATAATATATGATACTATTTGCACAGTCACCTTCAAACGCACATCGATACACGTATATGCATACATTTTGTGCCGGAAGATATATAGAAGCAGAGCCAAGGTTTTTAATGAAATGAATTGCGTCGAAAAAAATTCATTTTATCTTTTTTATTGAATATAAGTAAATAACTTTGAATTATGGAAAAGATTCTGACTGTACGAAAATTATTCAAATTAGTAAATTGCCTATTCCACAAGAGTACGGGTTCACGCAGGACAAGGACACAATATTACACTAAAAAGACTAATGAAAACTCCAACTAATGCGTGAAAAATTCATGGAGTTGTGTTTGTCGCGCATGAATTAGCAATGAGTTTATCGCGGATGAAGAATTTTCCTCATTTCCTTTGCCCGGTTACATAGTCTGTGAATCGACGAAAAGTCAGTGGGATCAATCTAGTGGCGTCGAGTTATAATACAAATGTACAGGATAGAAACGCTAAAATAATACTTGGCTACAGCTACTGAGGTAGACGATAATACTACTTGGGAATACAAATCTTTCCGGCGAAGCTCAGTCATAGAAAACCAAGTCATTTAAAAAACTTGGACATGCAAAGGTAAATATACAGGTAGAGTTGTTTGTAGTGATGAATATTAATATTTATAATATATTTAATAAGATGAAAACCAAATAATGTTTTTTACCTACTACGATAAAATTTTAGGAAGGATAGATACGGATATTATGATGTTTCTGATAATATGATATATATATATATATATTTATACATATCGCAGACGAAAAATCGGAGTCTACTAATTTGAATGTAAAATATATTTACTTCAACACTAAACTGAACATAAAATTTCGTTTTTCACACTTTAAAGGAGGAGCCTAACAAACTACACAACTCTGAAGCATAAATGATGGATGGCAGTGGAGGGCACACTGACGTCACGGAAATGAACTCACAACAAGTGTTTGGTCCTGTTGGAGCGAAGGAAGGCGGTTGCCCTGGAGTAAGTTACATCCGCTATTGCCTTTTAGTCAGTGTACATCAATCAGACTTCTTTATCAAATTAAAACACATACTTTCAATCATGCAGTGGACACCGGCAAGAATGTTCTTGGAAGTATTCCTGGTACTGATGCTGGTAGTAAACTTGTTTTCTGCATTTGTGATATTTACTACAAAATCAACATTGAATTTTCATAGTACTTTCAATAAAGTTTGCATTCTGATGATTAATTTTTCTGGTATAGCACTGGTAAGTTAATTTTATACACCGTTTAGTTTGTACTAGACACAGCAATCAATTTGTGCTAAAATCAAAACGATCCGAGAAAGTTTTTTTTGTCTTTCGCGTAAATAATTGATTGAAAATGTGTTACGCATATCTAATCAAGGGAATGCATTTAGCAATGAATCTAAAGACATTTTTTGGGTGGTGAGAACACGCCATGCCATACACCAGGATGCCGATAATCATTTTTTCCAGTGCACGATCCACGGGTTTTCCATTATGCCAAATAAACTTATCAGTTGTGGATGACTACGCTAACTAGAATTCTGATGGCATACGAGGCGTCAACGTGATCATAAACATTATTTTTCAATCCGCTATAAAATAGGTACATGACCAAGTACGGTAATTATTATTAGTTGAATATTACCAAACATATAAATCCATCCCCCAAAAAGGTCAAATTATACTTGTGGGGTCGTTATTACATGTTTAAAAACCAGTGATCTAGAGTTTTAGTTTGGATGGAGTCAAAATTCAGATTTACTAATTCTTCTATTCATTCAGTGCTCTCATTTTTCGTTTCTACCGTTGCTGTTCAGTCCCATGATGACTCAAAACACCGATACTAATGGATTTTATCGATATATAGATTTGGCAACAACCGTTAGTTTCAACGTTCAGGATCAGGTATCAAAACTAAGCTTATAATACCACGTGACGATACTAAGAAACCCTAGTACTGTGTTTTCCGAACCCGAGGCCGCGGACTCAAATGTGTCCATTGAGGGCCTTGTTGATCACTATTAGTTAGTTTCCCGCTTTCATGGCAAAGCGAAAGCGAGTATTCATGAAGACAATTATTTCCTGATGCCCATTTTGACAAAATAGCGAAACAAGTTCAGACGCGGGGTTCTAATTAAATGTTGCAAATAGCGGTAAATGATATTTTTATAGTCGTTCTGGTAAATATCGATGATATCAAAGTTTATTTAATTCTAATGCCCTAGCCTAGATCCACCGCGGATCAATCAACCTCGTAACTGTTCCGCGGTCAATAAAGGTTGGAAAACACTGTCCTAGTAGCCTACAACGAACTGTGTTCCAATTTTCAAAATATTGCAAATCGGCCCTCGGAAATGTGGATACTTTTTACGGTACGATCTAGCGTCTGACTGCTCTGGTCCAGTTATGCTTATATCAGTAGTATTAGTAACAATCACACATTACACACTACGTCTATGAATGTGTATGGTACACTCGTTGGCCAGTACAGGCTAAAATGTTTGTTTTCTATGCCCACCACAAACAAATTTTTAAATTTTTGTGTCATTATATTTAAATTTGTATTTGCAGAAAACCAGTAAATTTGGGAAAAGTCATCAAATTACCTATATATATTCTATATACCAATTTCGAACTGTATGATTGTAGTTTGGGTGCAGGCATATATATATATGTCTCATATACCCTAAGTGTAACTTGTGTGTAATACATTATTGAGCAAGTTACCCGCGCTTGCGTTCTATTATTTAAAGGATGACACAATTTACATATCCCACCTTCCAAAACGTAAAGGATTATTTCCTGTGGTCGTCTGGTAAAGCTCGTACAACCTTTGTTTATCGTTTTATGTATTGCCAAAAAATGCAGTGACTTTACTATAGTAAGCTATTGTAATCGGAGCTATTACGACTAATTGATTTGTGAAATGTAAGTGTATTTATTGTGAGCCCTGGTATTTCTAATGCCTATATAGTTGATTGTGAAATTAGTATTCTTATGAATTTTCCGTATTCTTTGACATTGCTATATAATCATGAAAAAATGTTGTTTTCAGTAATGATTTTCGGAATAGTATTGGACCAGCAAACAAGTTTAACTTATTTCAGGCGAAGACAGAACTGCAATGGTGCAATGTATCGGAAACTGCGTCATGCAAATGGTCCGGATTCAGTTTTACTTTCCTTGTTTTCTCACCTTTGGCTATACTTGTTGCAATGAGTGCTGATCGTGTGGTGGCAACATACTGCTGGAAAACTTATAAATTTCGGTAAGTCAGATATGCCAGAAAGTATTCCTCGAATGGCATTTATTTTGTTTCAGAAAAAACTCTCTGTATGACCAACGGATTCGAAACATGCTGCTTAGAGCAGAGTTAAAGAGATATCAATGCCATGTTCACGGTTGGGAAAGGTTTACACAAATTTGCAATAATAGAGTGGATATGATGTCAACTTCGCGGTCATTTAATTGAAGGTTGCACGAAAAGTATATATTTTGAGGAATATGAACCAAGTATTTGTTCGTCTATTTATCAGTTATGCCATAAGCTTGAATAAAATCCCCGCTCAGAAAACTTAACTATCAAGATAATCAAAATACCGCATAAATTGCTATTGATCAACAGAGGCCATGCTGTGTCATCATTCAGACTGACGGTGTTGATAGGTTTCCTGGCAACTCTTTGTCTCATTTCTGTACTTCCTTTTCTTAACATCGGAGCTACGTATAAATATGACAGTATACTTCTGGTGTGTGTACTCCCCCGTGATCCTGACTCTGCTTTGACAAGGACGTTTGCTTTAATTGTAAGTATACATACTTGTTGGGTATTTCTCCCAGGAACCAACTATTATAATGAATGATATTGAAAATATTCTAATTCACGGAGCACAACGCATGATGCCTGAAATTGAATTTATTCAAGAATCATGTCCACCACTCCACTCAGAAATAAAACCTAGTTAGATGATGAAAAAAGTAAAAAAAATTCAGTCTTTCCAGGATAATATTTGCGTAAAATGGTTCGCAGTGCAAATGTAAAAACAACGCAAAAGCAAATTACCCTCCAATGTAATAAACCTCATCAGAGGTTCAGAAAAAGAAAAAAAAATTATGTTTTAAATTACAACCTATTTTTCGCAAAATGCAAATTCGCGAATTGAAATTTACTTTTTTTGACAGGTTACCACGTTTATTGCAATTTTACTGTTTTTCTTAATATTGGCGGGATGTCTTACGTTGTCAGCTGTATATTTGAATTCAAACCCTCGATTCGTATCCAGTAACATCGGATCTTCTCTAGTATTTGGTCGATTTGGTGTCGTCAAAAGTGAAGGTTGGAAGCGAGTTAGTCGACTGACGCTTGCTGTTTCGTGTCTTGGACTCGCGTCATTCATTCCACTTTTGGTAAGGACATCATTGGTAAATAATGAATGTACAGTGACATCACAACAGTAACGTGGGGCACAGCAGCACAAACCTCTTCATTATAGGATCCTATCAATTACACCTTTACTGCCTCATAATGTGTTCACTTATCATTTGCATTTAAGGCAGTTAGTACCCCACACTTCGATTTTTTGGATCTAATCTATATACTACAATATTCGCGAAGGTTTTACCCGAATCTATGCACATAAGTCCCAAGTTCATGCCGGCAAATCTCCAAGCATCTTGGGCTTTGGGTACAGGCTTTGAGTATTTTCCCAATAACTTTACATCCACATGCGAGCCGCAAGTTATTCAGAATCCTAGCTAAACTAAAAACCAATTTCTACAAGATAAAATTGGTACAAAGGCGAGTGGGAACAAACAGAAATTTGAATATACAGGGTGATTGAAAGGTAACTCCCTATTTTAAAAAAACTATAGTTTATTTTTAAAATATAATTTCTACAATTAATGAATATGAGAAGGAAGTATAATGCATGGGCTTATTGAAAAGTAACTCCCTATTTTAAAAAAACTATAGTTTATTTTTAAAATATAATTTCTACAATTAATGAATATGAGAAATTTTCAAATTTATTTTATTTCAAAACCCTACAAAAATGGCTGGACGTCTTACTCTACAGGAACGTGCCCAGATAGCCGCGCGTTATGAAGTTTGGGGATGCATTGTTCAAGTGCAAAGATGGTGGAGAACTATTAAGGGAAAACATGCCCAAATTGACCCGAAGACGATCAAGAATTGTCATAAAAAACTTATGACCACAGGATCTGTGGCTGATACTCAAAGAAGCGGTCGTCCTTTCAAATCCAGAGATCCTGAGGTAGTGCAAGTTGTTAAAGAAATGTTTACCCGTAGCCCACATAAGTCAATTCGTCAAGCAACAAGAGAAAGTGGGCTCTCCTTTCATTGTGTACGTAATGTGCTAAAAAACGAGCTTAAATGGCGTGCTTGGAAGCCGCATTACTGTCAAGCACTCTCTGCAGAAGACTTTGACATTCGTATGGAGTTTGGTGAAATAATGTTGGCTTGGTTTAGAGATTGGCCCAACCTTTTTAAAAATATTCTATGGAGTGATGAAGCTGTATTCCACATAGGTGGATTTGTGAACCGTCATAACTGCCACTACTGGGCGGAAGAAGATCCTCGTGTTACCTGTGAAAAAATGCAAAATCGATCCAAAGTAACGGTATGGTGTGGAATTACTTTTGATAGGATTGTGGGTCCCTTCATTCTTCGCGATACCATGAATGCCGAAAGGTACCTCGCTATGTTGAAAGATGAAATTTGGCCAATTATCAGTGCTTGGGAAAATATTGAAGATTTGATTTTCATGCAAGATGGAGCTCCTCCACACTTTGCTATTGTTGTTCGTGAATGGCTAAATGCTCAATTTCCTGGAAGATGGATGGGTCGTCGCGGTTCGCACGAATGGCCTGCCAGAAGTCCTGACTTAACACCCTGCGTTTCTTGCGAAATCAGTTGATGCGATTCCTGGTCGACTTGAGAAGCTGGTGGCAAATAAAGGCGCCCATATTGAATTTTAAATAAAAGCCCATGCATTATACTTCCTTCTCATATTCATTAATTGTAGAAATTATATTTTAAAAATAAACTATAGTTTTTTTAAAATAGGGAGTTACTTTTCAATAAGCCCATGCATTATACTTCCTTCTCATATTCATTAATTGTAGAAATTATATTTTAAAAATAAACTATAGTTTTTTTAAAATAGGGAGTTACCTTTCAATCACCCTGTATATACTAATTTATAAATATGGGCAGGAGTGGATGTTTGTGAATGCAGTCAATAATAAAAAGCGATGTATGGTCATGAATATATAATAGTGCAAAGTTATAATCGCCAATATTTGTAAATTTCTACAGGCCCTATTGTAGTAATCCATGGTTGAGAGTAATCCATTGGTTAACAAATGACATACATAATGAGAATGTCTATAGATGCCATTATTGTGGTGCAGAATGTGCACGGACGTACATAAACACTGTGTATATATATATAGGTACTGTCATAACTGTATTTCCCGTTGATACAGCTTTGTCTCTTCTCTAACTAAGTTAGATGCATGGGAAAACGTGTGTGCCAATCCTTACATTAATTTTGAAAGATTTATTTGAAATGTATTGAATAAATTTCAGACAATTTCATTTTATCGTCTATTTCACGAGTTGGATGAAACGACACGTGAAAACATGGACATTGCAACAACTGTATTTCTTCTTTTGGTACCTTGTCTAAATCCAGTTATCTACATAGGATTTTCCAGAGATTACAAAAATCGAGCAATCCGAATTTTATCATGGATAAAACCGAAGCGATTCAGAAGGTCGGTTACAATTCTAACATTTATTCCAAATTAGTTACAATATATATTACATCAGGGTTTATATAGCACTACTATATCGGACTCAAGCAAACATAAAAATTGATGATATATAATTGATGATTTTTTTTATAACAGCGTTAAAAATTATCATTATATAAATGAGGCGTTGGTTCGAACTGAAAGAAAAAGAATTTGCTGCTTACATATAATACTAAAGGCCGTGAAAATTTGTATATTTTCATTGTAATATTATCATAAAGTATTGAAATGTTCGTAAAAAAAAAGATTGGCGTTCCAGCGACATCTTTCATCCTGTCGAAAATCTGAAATCGATTGAGTCCAATTATTGAAAAATTACTTATTGTGATTCACTCATTTATAATCTCATACAGACCCACTGCAAATTCTAAGCTAATTAATTTGTTCTTTATCCGCAGTAATATATCAAGCACGATGGATCATCGTATAGATAGCAACTGGGATTCAGAAGCTGAAATGCTTCCGAATCATCGAAATATTGGCACCGACTTCATAAATACCTCGCAAATTAATGCCGATGTATCTATCAGCCCTATTCCTGCCAATATCATTAGAAGAACCTCACATAATTCCGGCGCAAGTCGTGAATTGGAAGAGCCAGAAAGAAGAATTCGAGGGGAAAGGCATTATTCTCCACAGTCCGACGGAACGAGGGTAAATGCTATTGTTAGTCCTAACCTGATACCCGATAGAAAACCGACAGAATTTCATATTTATGAGCATAATGGAATCACTCATATGAATCCTTCCGTATCTGGCAGTGGTTCATCAGAGTCATATCGTCAAGGTAATATCAATTCAGTTGGGACTTCGCACGAAAATTTATTTCAAACTCCAAAGCCACGTTTCGGAAAAAAAATGTCAACAGAAGCTATAGACTTTTTTCAGAACGCTCCGCGTTACTTAAAAGTCTCCAATCATAACTGGGAAATACCGAAACAAAATAGACGAAACTCCGGTAAAGTTCCCGAGTATCATTATCACCATCATTTGCATATCTATCCATCAACTCAAGACCAGAAATTTCTGTCAGAACATTCAAAGCAATACGGGTATAGTCAACATGAAATAGAAGCCGTAGCTAGCAGCAACCCCCAATTTGGCTTGAATTCGCATTTCTACCAAGGCTATGACGAAAGACGGAGAAAAAAATCTGGAGAAAACAGTAGAATGGATCGACATTATAGGAAAAACCGTCGCCGAACGTCGCATGGGGAAGCCTCCCTTTTTCTATCTGCGGACAACTTGGTATGGCCTGAAAATGTTACAACCAATGATCCATCGCCTTCAAAAAAATATAAACGCGGATTACGAGAAAATAATATGCCGAATAAATGAAATACTGATATTTAAACAGTTGTGTGGACGCAAATTCTGAAATTTACACAGGGCTGCCATAACGTCTATATTTCTAAGAATATCCTTATTTTGAAATGTGTCATTATTTTTGGATTATTTAAGGGTAGAGGTTCTTATACCGGGTACCAACGACTAACATACCGCGGGTACTTAGATTGATCAATTCTAATGATTTATTTGCTAAAAATGATATTTGAACCTCATTGATTGCACTCGCATTCATGACGTAATAACAGCAAATCAATTGCCACAATGACAAAACAATTGCCTACTGGCAAAGAACAGTCCGCGTAACTTGAATCAAAATACAGTAGTGAATCAGAGCTTTGCAGTTGACGAGTAGAATTATTCAAGATCTGATAGATTTGGTGAGTTTAGAAGTAACCTACTGGCGTTCTGAGCGACTGCCTTTTCACCAAGAATTTCAGAACGTGTCGATTTTATTACTAGTCGATATTCAGTGCGTTAGGCAAATCAAAAAACGAATCCCATGCAGTCATCAGAATATTTGAAATAAATTAAGTAATAGCCTTCTAGAGAAAAATTTAATCTTCAAGCCCTGAAAATTTTAAACAGATTAGTCCAGTAATCAAAGAGAAAACTTTTTAAAAACGTGTCAAAGAACAAGCATAAGAACAACAAAAATACCGAAACGATTGTTATGTCCAAAAACGTGTCCGCAGTTATACTTTAAATTTAGTTTAGATCTGTAACTTCATAAGAGATAAAATGGGTAAACGTAAAATCATTAACCGTGTTGATTATGATATTCTACAGGTGAAAGTGAACTTAAAAGTGAGATGGAACAGATAGTTTGTACTTTGTAGGAATAAAGAACTACTGAAGCAAATCCTGCATAATGCAGAGTGTGATTAGACACGGATCGCACTGGCATGAATACATATTGTTTATTACATTTCGTTCTTTGTTATCTTATTAATACGTTTCCCTGATGTCCTTATTTTTGAGTTCGTATCAATGGCAGCCCTGCCATAACGTATGAAAATCCTACTCAAGTAGAATACTCAACTCGGCATACTTTGCTGAAAATATCATCTGCGCTTTTACATCTTTTAGCTATTTTTGAAACTTTACAAGAGAAAAACGAGAATATCGGTCAGAGACCGGAGACTTATCGATCGAAAGTTAGGGGATCCCAAAACAGCGCTCTTACTCCATAGTGACACCTTATGTGTCCCTTCACTAATTAATTAATAACCTGCCAATTATACGACATAATTTGCCCAAAATCAATAGGCTGCTAGTCCGAGATATGATAAACGGACATGCAAAATCTGGAGCGGATTCAATCTCGCTTTCGTGAGATATCGCGTGCATCAGACAGTCAGACAAATACCTACAACATACTTACCAATTAAAATCGATAGGTAATAGAATCGATAAGAAACGATTAAAATCGATAAGTAACAACTTTCTTATAAATATTTTACGTGTGTACTCTAGAACAGGGTAGTCCGAGGTTGTCGGCAACACCAAATGCGATTTTTTTGATCACGTTATGCCCTACGCGGCGGTGTGGCTCATCGTGCTAAGCGTTAGGAATACGCTCGCCACCGCACCTCTAATTACTCTGCGTGGGTTCGCAGGTTCGAATCCCATGCGGGGTGGTTATGTGCGAAAGGATTGCTGGACTCCTCGCCGCCGTTGTGTGGTTCACGTGACCGCTGGTCGGTTACGGCTTCCTCCACCATCAAGTCCATGCTTCGGAAAAACAAAATACCTAACTAATGCCATACCCGACATGGAATGGTAACCGGACGAGAGGCCGTGGTTCGCCATATGGGTAAGCCGTCAAATCGGCTTTTCTCTCCCCCGGGATAAATATGTAAATCTTCTCCTTCTCTCCTTCTACGACCAATTGTTACCTATACGAGCAAATGTGACGCGGGCCACAGATAATGATACGGCGGGTCACATGAGGCCCGCGGGCATGGGTTTGAACCGACCTGCATGCCTATCACTGCTTCGTGTAATGACAGACTGCTCAGCATGTAGCGCAATTCAGACAATCTAATCAGTACATAACGTCCCAGTACTATTAGAAGTACTTTGCGATTCCCCAGTACTATTAGTACTAAGTATACGTACTCTGCGGAATATCTTCACCTTACATCTCAGAGGTCAATAAACACACAATATCTGTTTTGCCAAGTGTCCATATATTGTAAAGTTACAAAATTGAAATGTTACAGTAACAGATAATAAAATTGTACTTCAATCTTAATACAGATATACGTGATGTCACCAAATTACGACAAAAAACATTACAAAAAGCAAATTTCCAACTCTTGTTCGAATGCGGGAATGATACGCCATAAACCCTTTTAGGCATGCAGAAAATGATTCGGCTCTCCGACCTTGTTTCAGGCAAATAATGTGGCGAGTACATAATGATTACTGTGGATTTCAATTCTGGAAACCTCTTTTCGGCAAAGAAGCAAAAAGAATGCGAGTAGAAATAGCCAAACGATATAAAATCTGGGCGGCCCCATTAGTTAGAGCAAAATTAAGAAGCTAGATTGGCATGGTTTAGATTTAGGGACAAATCCCAAAGCGTTTGATTAACCATACGTGGTCAGAATAATAATCCATATTTTATTTAGACATCTCTCCAACCAGTGATATTTGATATATAACCCTCGATCTAGGGACAGACCCCTATTACGTAAACATGAATCCTTAATTCGTTGAGTTATAACGAAAGAAAGAGATGAAACAAAGCGAAACTTTGGAATCAGGGAAATATGCTGCATCTAGAAATTTAACTAGTCCATACGACGTCAAATTACTCAGTCTCAGACATTTTGTTCCTATACGTAACCAGAGATCAGTAACAAATTCCGCGTTTTAGACAGTAAAAACAGACTTGAAATTTCCGTCAGAAGTTAGGAAGCATCGTATTTGGTTTAAACAATTCATTTTGAACAAATAGCTTTATATATATATATATGCCCAAATTTCAGGACAATGTTGAAATCTAAGAAATGTGTGCCACTGCAGCGAGAAATTTCAGTATCGCATTTCAGAAGAAAAATATAGACTTGAAATTGTCATCGGAGTTCAGGGGGTATGTGGTTTCAATAAATATTTAAATGCATTGGTCTGATTAAATCTCTAAACTTTACCAAATGTGGCTCTGACAAATTGACAGAAATGACTTACCGCATGCATATCGGTACTAGTAGATGGTTAGCCGAAGTACCAAGCTTGCTGGACAACACGGCGCACAAACGTGTCATGTGAGGTCACGCTTGACGGAATAAAAAAGCGTTTCCATGAATAAATAAAAAACAACCAAATTTTGGATGAAATATCGGACTCGTCATCAAATTCAAATGATCCATTTTAGGTCAAATTGAGTCAGTGAGACATTTTCTGGGAACTTACTATAAATATTTGGTATATGCCGCATTCAAATGAACAAATGCTAAGTTGACATTCCCATTCGACGTTAGGAAGCATCGCGTTTCCCAGTAAGCAGTAAGTAAGTAAGCCGATGGCGATGGGTGGCGGTAACTGGCTAGGCTAAGCACCAAGTTTGCTGAGCAACATGGCGTAAACCTAACGGAGTCGCACTAGACGGAATAGAAGAAGTGGGGAAGGTTGGAACACTTTTTTTTCTTTTGCATATTTTGAGCCGTTAATTCTGCATATTCACTTAAGTTTGCGGGACTAATGCATAGAGGGGTAAATGTAGTTTTTATTCAGCGACTAAGAAATTCCCTTGCGACACACATCTTACTACCAAAATGTTTTGAAAAACGTCTGTCAAGTGTCCCACTGTACCCCAATGGGTGGTCAGTCTGTCAAAATTCAACGAAGTATGGCCTCAAAAATAAGCAAATAATCAGCATAATCGTCTAAAAAAACAGGGAGACTTCAAATTTGAAAATTTAATATTTTTAAAATCAATGTTCAACTGAAATAGTTCAGATATTTTGACAAAAAATTTCGCAAACAAATTTGATTATTTCCTTCCTCGAATCTAAATCTGGAAATATTATTGATTCTCGAATATTTTCCATATTGGGCCATGGGTCGAAAGAAACCATAATATTACACAAAATATAACGCATCCCTGGGTCTCTAAGTACTTATTGTATCAAACACTGTCGAATTGTGCCATGTAGGGCATGTCCCACTGAACCGGGACATTGTTCCCCATAGGAAACTAATATTTTCAGACCATCCCACGTCGAAATTCGGAAGGCACATCCACTCGCCAACGTTATGAATATTTTACAGTGGACTAAAGCTGAAAAATATCAGACGGTGGTTTGTCATGTTGAAAACGCTAAAGTAGAAAAAAGAAAAAACTGGAATAGTGAAATTTTAGTTTCAACCTCCCAAAACCAATTTCACCTCATAGCTTGCGCCGCTCTACCCGTGCGTTGTCCGTTCACGGGGACGTTGTAACTCACCGAAGGGCGGATTGAAACAACGTACGGCGGACAGGATTGCGGATATAGTATCAGTGTGATAGCTGATTTTCCACTGTGCCCCATGATCAAACGTGCCCCATATTCCCCTACTCGTGGCTTAAAAAAAACAGCAACATTTTAGGTTAAACAACGGCCCCTATAGGACTCGGAGTTAGTTTTAGAAAAGTAGTGTCGAATTGGCGGTATTGTCACTATTTCTAATCTTTTTGTACGCATTACACCCGAGCGAACCTACCGGTAACGAAGCCCGGACTGTCCTAGCTTTTTCAGGTCCTGTGACTTCAGTTTCAACGTGGATTGAAATACCAAATTATCCGCGTCACTACTACATCTGATCTGATCTGATTCTGATCCTGTACCGTAGTCCAGGGGTGTGCATCCTTTATTACAAGAGGGCCAGATTTAAGTAATTGAAGCCGCGGGACGCACTTTTATTTAAGATATAATTTCTAGTAATTTAGGGCACAAAAAATGCTTTTGCTAGCTAGTTTTGCTAACATGACAGTGGCACTCGGGTACTGGTATAGGCTTTGCGACGCAAAGTGATTGGAATTGCTCGCACGTACCAGAATAACTAAACTTATACTTATACTAAAAACTC